GAACGGACCCGTGGAGGCAGACTTCCAGGTCTACGGAGACTTTCCTAACTACAAGTCCGGTGTATATAAGAAGCACTCGACTCAGTTGCTCGGCGGACACGCCATCAAAATCTTGGGCTGGGGTGTCGAGAACGACACACCCTATTGGTTGGCCGCCAACTCCTGGAACGAGGACTGGGGAGACAAAGGCTACTTCAAGATCGCCCGGGGCTCTGATGAGTGCGGTATTGAGAGCGATATCGTGGCCGGTCTGCCCAAACTGTAGGCGCTGCGCAGCACCTGTATTATAATACATGTTTAATAAATCATGAGTTTTATTCATTAAATTCTAAGTATTGGTTATTATGTTGTTATGTCTAATCAATTGTCTGATTATTTTCTATCGAATTTGAAATCCTGTTTGAGATAATGGTTGAGAGGGAGGGAGAGAGAGAGAGAGAGAGAGATTAAAACATTTATCATAAAACCAAACTACAGTAATATGCAATAAGAAAATTTTTATTAATCTTTAAAAATAAGTATAAAATAGATTTGTTTGGACAAATCGTATAGTTAACATGGTTAAAATTCTTTACGAGTAATTTTCCCATAACACTCATAATTCTAAGTTGTGAGCAATAATGTTTCATAAATTCTGTAAAATTAACTTGTATCATAACATGTAGTGAATATATACTGTATTTATCAAAACTTTCACTCTAGAGTACTGGTGCCCACACGGGTCAACACCACCAATACATTCAGAGTTCATATTCTGATTAAGCATTTATAAAAACATTAAAAAACAAATCAAATGAAAACATGATTAAGAGATCGCATAATACGGCAGTAATTGTATCGCTTAAGACGTCTTAAGAAAGCTCGTCCTCATCGATGAGTCCGTCCTCATCGCTATGGAGTGAGTGGTCGTCGGAGTCGTCTTCGGGATCGTAACACGAGATTCCAGTCGTGTCAACGGAACGGTAGTCCGAGAAGTCAATGTCTCCGAAACCATTGAACGGCACATCTCTGGAGTCGTCCTCTTCCTCCTCATCGACCGCTTCCTCTAAAGCTTTCATCCGACGAATAGCTCGCAATTGACGCAACTTTTTCTGAATTCTGGACTCATTCCTCGGCATATCATCGCCGGCTGACCCGTCATCGATGTCCAGGTCTTCGTGCAGATCCATGAGCTGAAGCCACACATCTTGACATAAATTGTTTTCCATCTCCGCTTCAATTGCCTGCAGATAATCGCTCTCCTCTTCGCCGTCCTCTTCGCCACCGAATGTCTTCTCAATCATTAGTTCCCATTCGTCGTCCTCTTCGCCGTCGATGTATTCGCAGGCATTCATATCGACCAATAGTTTGCTCAACGCATGGAAGCGAGTCTCGTGTTTATTGGTCGCCACGAATAGACGGATCACATGATCGCTCACTTCGGAGTTGACTTTCCTGGCGATACACATCACGTACTGGTCCTCAGCATTCCTCGTCAGCTCGCATATGAGATCATAAGTTATATCTTTGACTGGTTTGACGCCAAACAGCGCCACTCGCGTCGCCTGAAATGGCAATGCTTTCAGATGAACGTCTTGTATAGTGTAGAGTGACTTCTTTGGCACGTTTCGGATCCGTTGGCCGTGATCTACAAGAAACAGGTCGACCGCATCGCCATTGATGGCCACGACTCGGGCCCTATTCAGCGACGACTCGTCGTAAACCTTATCCAATAATTTATAGAAACAGATCTGTTGGTCAGTCACTTCCAGCAATGGTTTCAATGTCGGCAACTCCTGCATCCACTTGTCCTCCATGTCCTGCAATCGCTTCACTTGATTCTCACGCGTCACATAAAACTCGTCAATCGATGTCCAATCGCTGACCACAACGTAAGTGTCCTCATCGACAAGACTCGTGCCGTACGCCACGGAATTGAGTCTATAATTAGACCAAATGTTGACAATCCTATTGTAGTCTTCGTTGACATTCGCGAGTTTCAACTCATTTTCGTCGACAAACTTCTGGCGAATCAGGCATTCGCTGACATCTGAGCCCACATTGAGGCCCGCGTTCTTCAGCCGCTTTTGGACGTGCAGTCGATTCAACCAAAACACGCCATTCACTTGTTTGACGACCCAAGCGGTCACTTCACTGATCCGGTAGTTGTCCACCAATTCATAGAAAGCCTGCGTCGACCGGAAGTCCCACTCGATCTCATTGGCGATCGGTTTGATGCCAAACAAGTGACCCCTGAGTGCCAGCGCCGGTACGTCTTGCAGATGATCCGGTAATTCAAACAATTGGCGCGAATTGGACCGCAATTTATGGCCAAAATCAACGGTAAACAACTCAACCTTTTGGCCGACGGGTGCGCCACTACTCTGCTCACAGTCTTCGTAGAAGTTGGTCTCTTCGGAACCAATGATTTTTGTCAAACGCACTCTAAATACCTGTCCCCTCACAGCAATCCCGTACAGTCTGTCACCCGTTGGATCCCTAACCGTATTATATGGCGTATCTTTGAGCGCAATTAGCTCTTCGCGGATCGCATCGTAATTATCGCTCATTGGCTGCCATTTGCCGGACGTCTGACTCGCACCGCGAAACTCGTGGCACCGGAAGTAGAAGTCGTTGGCGCCCAACACGTAGGTCACCGTTATCTTGATCTGTCCGCTGGTNAATATAAATTAAAAACAATTGATATAAGGTACAAAATTGAGTAGATATTGCAAAACAATTGTATTGAAAGTAAAGTATTTGATGTGAAAAACATAAGTCATTCAAGTCATGGGATATTCTTGTTATCGGTATTTGAAAGATATTTATAAAAATCAATCCATATTTGAAACAAAAGGCGTTCAAAACGTCAATACAATTGACTTTTTGTTGAGATAACTGCTTATTGGGTAACCAAGTGTTGCCAGTGCGGCAAATAAACTTGGTCAAATTAGCATGCACACAATCAACAAATAAACTGAATAATTTTGAATTCCATCAAAGTCAACAAGGGCAATTCATAACAATTATTTTAATAATTCAAAAATGCTCATAACTTAATGCAAGAACCTGGCTATTATCAAATAACTTATCAGCAACTACAATTTCTCAAGAATCGTAATCATGAGGTATAAAAAGTAAATTGTTTTTCAGTATTTTATTAAGAAAATCATATTTTCTTACACTCGTATCGCACACACAATGATCCGGAACAGTTTGGTAGTCTTTATGGCGGTTTGCGTCGCTGTGTCCACACAGACACGGATGCGACCGACACTCCCGTCGACTGTCAATAACTTCTCCGAAGATATGATTGATTACATCAACGGATTGGGCACTACGTGGAAGGTATGCTACCATTTGTTACCCAGAGTTAGGTTAGATTCCAAAGGATACCTAAGCCCTGGGTATTGAAAAAGATACCAAAAATAACTACTTATACCGTAAAACTCAATTTAATCGTCAATTCTTGTATCCACTGAAAAGGCCGGTAAAAACTTTAACAACTACTCCGTTGAGTACATTACTCGCTTGTTGGGAGTGAGGGACGACAATCACCTGTACTACAAGACCCATGACATCCCGTTCCTGACCCACGATGTCTCGAACCTCGCTGTTCCCGAGACTTTCGACGCTCGCGAACACTGGCCGGAGTGCACCACCATTGGAGAGATCAGGGATCAGGGATCTTGTGGTAAGCATCCGCTCTTAATAGGACGGGGATTATGATATGAATGTGCTCTACTAACTGTCCACATATACCACTCCCCCATCCATTAGGCTCGTGCTGGGTTTTCGGAGCTGTAGAGGCCATGTCTGACCGCATATGTATCGCATCGAAGGGCCAGACGGTGGTGGAGGTGTCGGCCGAAGACCTGTTGGCCTGTTGTGGCATGACGTGTGGTATGGGATGTGAGGGCGGATACCCATCTGCCGCCTGGAACTACTGGAAAACCTCAGGACTGGTGTCGGGAGGTCTGTACAACACCAAAAAGACGTGTCAGCCCTACTCGATCGCGGCCTGTGAACACCACACGACCGGCAAACTGCCCGCCTGTAAGTCCGAACTGGAGCCGACCCCCAAGTGTCAGCATACCTGTGCCTCGGGCTACGCGCGCAGCTATACTGCGGACAAACACTTTGGAGCCTCTGTTCACCGAATCGCCCGAAAAGTGGATCAAATCCAGGCGGAGATCATGACGAACGGACCCGTGGAGGCAGACTTCCAGGTCTACGGAGACTTTCCTAACTACAAGTCCGGTGTATATAAGAAGCACTCGACTCAGTTGCTCGGCGGACACGCCATCAAAATCTTGGGCTGGGGTGTC